TTCCAGATCGCTGTGGAAGGCGATGGTTATGAAGAGAATAAAAGTCCGCACTCATCTTTCGAGCGCTTTGAAGGCGTAACTGTTGGCAGGATGGCCTTGGTAAGGATCATCCATATCAGGTAGTATCTCTTGTTGCCCTCCCTTATTCATTCCCTGCTAAGCCTTTGGTAAAATGTATCGTCCTCTTACAAACAGAACAAACAAATTTATAGATGGTGTACTTCGGTCTGGTGAAGCCGGAATTGCTGAAGCTATTTTTGCAACGCACAGAAGCGGTTCGTACTCACGTGGAAAGGTATTTCGACCTTGATCGACCATTGCATTTCACCTACACCCATTTGGTCTGCCGAACGGCATTACTCGGTAATTTTCATCTGACGCATCCTCGTGCTTCTGACAACACTTTCGCTGGCATGTTCGCATCGTAATACTTGGTACGACATTAAACATATAGACAATCGGTCAAATCATATTCTATTGTTCGCTTAGCTTCTAGCATTTAATTTCATTTTTGTAACATTTTTTTATTAACAAAACGATCATCAGGATATAAAATATAATAGAAAAATGTATTCCTATTTGTCTATCGAAAAGTCGTCTAAGGAAAAATGAAGATTAGGAACATGTAAATATTTGCCGATTTCTAGAAAGTACATTTTATCTATTGTTTTCAGATTCGTCGGCCAATCGAACTGATCTGAGTCATGAGATTCACGCTGATAATTGCATAATAAAAGATGACGGCTCCTGCTTGCGGGAAGATCCAGCATACACGTGGCGGGATTACTCGTCGATTCTATATCTTAATGATGATTTTGATGGTGGCCAGTTCTTCTTCGTCGAGGACCGAAAGAGACGTCGCATTCAGGGAATTGTTCGACCTAGATGCGGACGAATGATAGCTTTCTCCGCCGGTGGCGAAAATCTTCACGGCGTTCAGGGTGTACGCCATGGCAAGAGGTGCGCAGTGGCGTTGTGGTTCACCCAGGATGAAAAATATTTAGAGTACGAGAGAATAGTGGCAGATACCGTATTGCAAAGAGTCCGCATTTTGGGTACTGTGCAACGCAAGGATATTCAAATACCTCTTAGGTAATACAGAGAATCTGTTATACATTTTGTGTGTGTGTTATCTAAATTCAAAATTAAAGAAATGAGTTTTTTTATATCGATTAAAGCATAATATTTCTGTTTCAGGTATGAAGACATGCTGATTCAATGTTTCAAGGAAGACGAGACATTGAGGCGCATCCTGAAAGAATTCGCGCAAGATGATAATAAAAATAGTAATGTTAATAACAATTAATAATAGTTTAGATTACAATGTAGATATATAACAGATTTATTTTAACTACACTTTTATTTAAAGTGGAATAAAACGTTCAAATGCCGTAGTATAAAAAGGAAAAGAAAAGAGAAATATGGCAAAACTGAAACCAATCAATTTGTGATTTGCAGAAGATGGATGAAGATGCGATGTGATGAATGAAAATCTAAAATATATTCCTTAATGAATAGCTGGACCATTAAACTGGTGAGTCGAGAGCAAATTTTCTAATCATTTTATAATAATAAATTATAAATTATAAATTTGTGCATAAGATTGTGAATCTTGCGCATTAGTATAGATTAGCTGAGTAATATATCTTCTTCAAAGAAATAAAAGAGAGAATTAAATGTTAATCTTAGAATACCTCATATGTGACGAGTAATTCACGTAATTAATTTGCACGATAAAATCCGATATAGAAACATGTAACAATAGATCTGTTTTTTTGTCAGTTTATCTAAAATTTTCTATCTCGCTTTCGCCACTTCAAATATATATATATATATATATCTATTTCATTTTAAATATAAGTATATGCGTTAGTTCAGTTATAAAAAACAAATCTAATAATATCGTGAAACTCGTCTTAACTTTTTCGCTACTATCATCGATATAGTCATTTTCCGCAAAATACATGTGGTTTCGTTGATTCTAGTCGTTCTCTATGAATATTATTAAACATTACGATTTGTAAATTTTTAATACAAATTCTATTTTATTTATACTCGAAAATTTATACTTTTAGTAAAATAAATTATAATTTTAAAATGTGCTTTAATCTCGTTACATGAATGCGTGCTATGACGGTCGTAGCGAAAGAGTTAACTCTGCCATGTTTTTAATATAATCTAATTTCTAGTCAGTGCATATGATATAATGCATAAGTTAATATATTTTGTATGCCCACAGTGATGAATCACTTTTAAATTACTCTGCTAAGTAGTATTATTTTATGCAGCAAAATATGTGTACTTAGGCATGTGTAATGCCGTTGCGATTACAATTGCAACAATTGTTTATAGAAAATATCCTAAATCTTTATTAGAACATGGACATTTACATGTCAACAAATTTACATAATCGCTCGCTATGCTTCGCACAATGTTTGTATCGCATTGTTAATTTATAATTTTTGTGTTCATGCTATAAGAAAATTACACGCGCGTCTGTTATATATGTGATTGCGTTACAGTCTCCTTAGTGACTTGCATCGTCGTCTCCTCTTCCTCTTCTTTCTCTTCCTTTTCCTCTTATCGTGTAATAACAAGTTTCGTACACACGATGGATATTCTATATATGTCTCTTTGTAAAATCAATTCCGTCAATTAAGCGTGCGTTTGGTACTAACTATTCGTAACTACCAACACATCTAAATCTCGTCAAGAAATGATTGAGATCTGCGATTTGTCTGCGTTGTCATCGTAATCAATGGACAACTAAACACACCGACAAGACAAAGCAGAAACGATTTTGGAATGAAAGGAGGAAGAGAAAGTACAGATCAAAACTCAAATTCTTCACCTCGAGAAAATTCTGATTCTGAAGAATGTCCCACGTGGGTAGAACCACAGAAAAGAGGATTCAATTGCAATAATTTTAACGTCCAATAATATTATATAAGATCACGAATCTAAATAATTTTCAAAGAATTTTAATCGTCAGAGTTTTATCGTTTATTAAAAATATATATTAACAAATAAAATGCAATGATCTAAATCTATCAAATATGAATTCTTTATTATACGTTTATTTTATGAAATAAATATGACGGAAGAGAAAGTTTGCCTTTTATCTTGAAAATATTTTAATCTAATGTTAATTTAATAAATTTGTATTTAAATAACCGTGAGCAGAATTTTTCAATTTCAAATGTGATTAAAATAATTATTAAAAAGGAGTAATATTTCTCCTCTGTATTTATTTTCCAACAAATATGTATATGTAGAATTAAAACTTTAATGAATGATAAGCGATAAACTTCGTTTGCTCAGAGTCATGATCTTGACATTGCCTAGATCATTCGAGTTGGGTCCCCTTTTCTGTGAACTACATAGGCTTGAAGAAAATCGCCGATTTCTATTTTAAGATGGAAATATGAAGAGAAAGAACGGATTCGACAAAATTTATTTATGAGAAAACAATGTTTGATGATATTGGCATAACGTAGTCTTAGGCCTCTTAGACTTATTTTAGCACTTGATACATACATAAAAAATAAATGCATATCCTTCCTCTTTCTTCCGAAATTAAAATATTTACTAACAATTGTCGAATTCGTTCTTACGTCTCTGATTGTGTATATTAACAAATTGTTACTACAAAATTTTAACTGAACGCATACAAAAAGAGATACAATGAAGCTAGTTCCAGATTATGCTATTCGTGCTATTTCTGGTTCGAGATTTGCAATTTGCTTATAAATGTGTAAATTCGAATTAGAATTTTCCATTCATTAAATCTGCTGCTGATTCACTACAACCAATTAAATTATAATATTGAGAAAACACATGATAAAAATTCTTTTGCAAAATGCATTAAAATATTTTTCAATAAAATAATCATTTGCAATTAATAGAGTAGATTTATAAAATTTATAGAAAACTCTAGTTTTGCTCCGGTAATTATATATCTATAGAATCATGATTTTAAATTGTGATTTTGTTCTCGATTAGACACATTTATTTCTTATATAAGTATTTCTTATCAGAGCAGTTTTCGGAAAGCAGTTTATATTCTACAAGCTTATCTTGTTAAAAAATATTTTTATTGTAATGCAAGAGTTCTCATCATATACTTTTTCACTTTTAATGTTATAATTTAAGATAGTTACAGTAAATCAGCAAAAGTCTTAATTACAAATTTGTGTACAATACAATATCTATCACGAATGCGGTTTTTTGATGAAAGCAAAAGACACGAATTATGAATCGCGTATTGTCTGTCGCTAGCTCAAGATTATGCTAACAAAAATCAAAATTAGAAAATGTGAGTTTTGCTCCCGTATTCCTCGTCGTACTCGTTATTCCACGTTCGCCTTTGTCATCTCAGGACCAATTGGGAAGAAAGTGATAACGCGATTACGATACGTTGTAACATACATATATGTTTCAATACAAACGTTTATTACGAAATTATAGTGACATTTGCGTATCACAGGAGAGCTCAGTCGATTCTTCAGAAACCACTCCATCGTCGTCGTATTTATGCGAACGTTGGCGCGCGAACTTTCAATACCAAAGGAAAAGACAACTATAACGACATTGCGTTGATAACGGAATGGAGTCTACGTGGAGAAATAAAATCTTTTTTTATCTTTTATTATTACGCGAATACTCGAAGTTCGAAATTTCGTAGATAATAAACGAAATAGAAAGACATCTCCTATTGTTTACTAACTCGATACCGATCAACGCAATTGATCTGTCGAATTTAATCTATCTCGAACGGAGTGGTCACTCGAGTTTCGCCATATGTTACAGATGTTTTCATATTGCTCTTCGTATAGATCTTGGTGTATCGTCCCTCGCCCGTATAACAGTTACAATTAAAAATCAATCTTAATTAAAAGCAATCTTGAAAATAACGCTCTCATGTAAAAAGTAGACGCACAATGAGAGAAATGTAAAAAGTATCGCAGAAACAGTAGCTAAGACACAACAGTAATGATGATAATCATAATAATCTATTGCCGATTGTAATATTTTTTTTACAGCAACGGGAAGTATAAAAGAGACGATACTTCACGTCTAGTAAACGATCATTACAACGAAAGGATGTAAACTGGCGTATCGTGTCATTAGTGCCCGTTGATTCTCAAGTCTCAAGAATCTTCAATTTTCGAGACGTTGAATTTCATTTGACGATTATTGATAAGATTAGTAGTTTCAAGCATAGGAGAATTGAATTCTCTTAGACCAGGGGCAGCGATTGCTGCTTGTCATCGATGTAGAAACACGGAAGAAAACACGAGTGCTGGATTATAACAATTTGAATCAGATTTCTCATGAGTTACATTTTTTCTTGTATATTATGTATCTAAAAAATCAATTCCATTCATTACCGAGTTTTCAAAAGTACTTTGATGTAATAAAATACTTGGACAGATATAAATAATATAAAGAGTAATTTTGTTACTTTATAAAAATAAGAAATATTTTACCAATAAAAAATCAACATTAACGACTAGTGCGCGAACTCACTTATTAGAAGACAAAAATTTTATTATAGACAAAAGTTTTAATAATAAATTTCTCTTCCAATTTTATATTTAATTTCTCTTCCTTAAATATAAATTAAGTTTTTTAAAAAATAATTGTATATCTTTTATGCGAATAATTTAAAATTCAAGATCACTAGTTCAAAATATAAGTTACAAAAAACAAATTTATATAAAAACATAATCTATCCTTACTCACAGTTTCAATATGAAAAAAGACTAAAATTATCAATTTTTTTCTCATGTTACTTTAATTTAAATTTAATCTCGATCGACTTGTCATTGATCTTAAATGAATAAAAAGTTGATCGTACGTTAAAATATAAATCTATCGCGTTAACGTCAGATTATGATTCTCAAGATCACTAATCTCTCTCTCTCTTTAGCTTTTATTTTCTGATCATTTAAAATGTGCAACAAACACTTTGCAGAATCTATCTCGACAAACTTGATTATGTGATATATAAATTACATAAATCAAATTATTGTAATATTATAACCTCAGAAATAAAAATAATTTTACTATAATATAGAAAACTAAATTTTTTATATTATAAGCTTAATTTCTAATAGGTTAAATGTCATCATAATAGAGAATCTAAAATTATGTTTAGAGGACGCAAAATTGAAACCAACTGCATATTGCACAATAATAAATAAGATTACCATCATATCTTTAAAAAAAAAAACCAGTTTGACATGAATGTAATCCAGCGCATAAGTAAAATCAAATCAATTACTTTGTTTGTTCGATATACTCGTGTAGTGTAGTTATCATGATTAATCGCCATAATTAATTTTCTATTAATCGGTAATTGATCAATATCAAAATGTAAACTATTGATAAAAATAAATCGCCCGTCTGATAATGCCTTCAGGAAATTGACTTTATCGAGAATCAATGTTTCGTACGAAATACTTTAACATTAATCTGTGATACTTTGTAATCTAAATGTTGATTAAATGTTGATTAAATTAATAATGTATAAAGCAATGGATGTGACACATGAACAAGTGTGATATAACTATAACAAGAATATGATTTTACAGGCGAAAACGGAACGCGCCACAATCGCAAAGGTACGAAACTTTCAGCGTTTTACGTATAATACTAAGAATCTCAGTTTGAAACATTTAGATAAACGAGTCTCCTCTTCGTTTGTCATTAGCTATACCTAACGCTAGTCCTGTTATCATCGTCAAAATTGTGTTTTAACTTTTAAACGTTCAAAAATACAGAATCAGCATTTGATTCGCCTCGCACGTGCTAACGTTTAAAAAAGTATCGTTGATTTAAACTCTTTATCTCTATTTTTCTCGCTATCGCCCCTTGACCTCTCGTAATTTTCTTCAGTAAAACAACTTTTACTCGCGTCTTATCATATATCTTGCTACTTAATACTCCTATCCTCGCGCGCATAAAAATAAACTAAAAATTGATATATATGCCAGAATTTTCTCGCTGAAAGACTTATTCCATATGTAAACAATATATATCCCTTCTTTCCAAAGTAAATGCTAAATGTACATATACGTTACTTAATCATGTTGTTTACATTTCTCCTTCCGTACGACTATTAACAATATAATGCTAACATATTACATTAAAATAATGTAAAACATAACAATAAACTAAAGAACGTTGTACATTGTGTTAAAAGAAGATGGAGATAAAAAACACCGTGACGCATTTTGATTATGTAGAGAAAAATTGTTAAATGGCGGAAGTCATCTTGCCGGAGAATATGCTGGACACCAAAGGATCTTCACGCAAGAACCTTTTTTGATGGATGGAAAAAACTGTTTGTACATCTATCATGTTTTATCGTAAAAACTTCGTTAAAACAGTACATCTTATAGAGGAATATATAAAAAATTAAAAAATATACAAGTTATATATAAAGACATAGACACATTTGCCGAAATACATTTTGCGTTAAGTCAGATCTTTCCCGTTTCTACCTATAGATTCTAGTCGTTAAGTCATAAAAGATCGGCCTCGGTATTTAAGAAGAGTACATTTAACGCCGAATGCGACGTTTTACTCCTAAATTTCGTAGTTGTATGTTCCCATTGAGATAAAATGTCATGTATAGCTTAACACAAATGAAGACTTGAAACGATCACATTCGGCATTGAACACACAAAGAGAATATGGATCGTGTTTATTTCGGCAAGGAAGATGTCTTACTTCTGTAAGATGCCTTTCCTTCACTTACATGCAATATATGATTTTACAAAAAGATCCATTTGATTTTCGGTATCGACGATTTTGGTATCCAACAAGTTTCTCCATGCGTATTCAGACTATGAACGATCGATAGTCGTGATATGGGCAGTGAGTGATTAAACAAGTACCAATATTAAATAGGCTGACTCTCCCATTGAGGCGCCCATTCTGGAAGTCGTCAATCCGTACTGGATGGCGGTGCTGCGTATCTCGTACGCGAATCCAAGTCCCCGTCGCATATGTATTTTCCTAAAACAATTCAGTTTTCGGTAATCAATCAGGTTCTGTTTTATTATGCTTTTCAACAATTCGTTAAATAACATGTAAAAGATAAAGAGAAACTCTCTTTTGAAAAAAGTATTTTTTTATAATAAACTTAATTTTTTAATTTTAAATATAGATTTAATCTTTTGACGAAATTTTTAAGCATTTTCTTTTAACTAGTATCATGTTCTTGAAAGTATGACAATTAAGAAATTGTTGAAACTAAATAGCTATTATTTTGTAACAAGTGAACTCAAATAAATTATGTGACAAAAACAAAAAAATTTTTATTAAGCAGAAACACATTCGCCTCCCCCCCCCCCCCACACACACACATATTTTCTTCAATCAAAATAATTGATTTAAATTTATAGAATAATCATACTTTTAAAATTATTAAATTCACTTTCTAACATTAATAATTGCTATATATTTTTGAAAAATTTCAGATTTCTCTTATGGAGATGATTACTTATGTCAAGATCTGGATATATATTACTGAATCAATCAAATTTTTGGTTTATTTCGTAATATTATTAATTTCACAAGTTCATAAATATGCCATATTCTTTTTGCACTACATCAATTCTGTTAATCAAAACGACATATGTATTTCTTTTAAAGGAGTGTATTCAGCTTATTTTATTCTAAGAAAAATTCGTTACAAAACAATTATTTAATTTCAACAGCTTTCAAATTATGTGTGTATTTTTTAAATACACAAGATTCATTAATAAAATAATAATATATTTATTATATCATATCATTTCTTTATGCTTTAAGTAATTTAAAAATTTTTTAACTATTTTGCAATAATAATGCAATATATAATAATTAAAATTTGTAATTAAGAATTGTCTAACATACCAGACACAAACTTTCGTTTTACTAAGCTCAATCGATATCCAGAACCTATGAGCTCAAATTCAACGCCCGACAATGTGGTCCCTTCACAATTAAACTGAGTGAATATCGTGCCCTGATTGCCTGGGCCATGTTCAAGTTCAACTCGTGCCTTTAGAGATCCAACTCCGTTGCCTTCGCTATGTTGCGAAAGCTCCGTGAATTTCCATAATACGCGGTTGGTATCGGGCAACCATTGCGCTGGTGGTTTACTGTTGAACGACTTGAAACCACCATCGATAGGCGCTGCAACATGGAGATTCAGCAGAGGACTCGGTGAGGCCATGGCACGACTGTTGTATTTGTAATCAATCTAGAAACAAAAATAGTTTGATTTGTAATGATCACAATCACATCAAGCGATAAAAAGACAAGATCATCACACTTTGTTTCTATCGAGTGTCTCTTAATAGAGACGGTCCGAATACCTTAAGATCGGTATGGGTAGTCTCACACTTCCAATATGCGACTAATTGAAAGGGGCACGAACTCGCGCCTTCCTTGCACTTGATTTGGTACTTGAGGATATCCACGTTGAAATACGAGGCCGAGGGGTTCTGTTCAGCTTGCCGTCGTAGCAATGTAGTTAAGGCACTCATGTTGAATTCGAAGATTGTACTGTCGACGGTAGTTTGAGTCGCGTCCCTGCAAATAGTCCCGCAGTCTCTCGTGTTATTAAGATGCCTTCTCTCAATTTAACGATCAGCGAGATTAACTAAGATGACTTACATGCTGATGAGCTGACTGTTTGGCAGCAGCCTTTCCAACCTATTAGTATTTCTCACGCGAAAGGTCAATTTAGCAGGACTGGGATTGTTTGCCAGAACCGTAACGATACCGGCCGGAAATGAGAGCATCATATCGCCACTGAGTTTCACCTGACAGCGAGTCTCGTCCGTGCCGCGAAAATAGGAGTGCACTATCTCGTGAAAAGCCACCGCCAGAGGGATGGTGTCGGCTAGACCGATCGTAAGCGGGGATGGTCCCCGCGAGGAACCCACGCCCACGCCAGCGGTACGAAATTCTAAACTGGCAACGCTATCGGCGCGGGATATCGTCGCGGGTGACATCCTGCCACGCGGTGAAGGACCCTCCCCTCTGCGCGACGGAGGTCTGGGTATCACGATCGACCCTGTCGGTGTAGAGGATGCAGATTGCTTTGGCGGTAAAGCCGGCGTGATGTCCCCGACTTCCGAAAATAAATCTCCATCTGAAAAAGAAAAAAAAAACGTATTTATTCCAAAACTCTTAGGCAATTTCACTTAGGAGTAAGAAATATAATTTGATTTAAATTTATCATTATTCCACGTTTACTCACAATAGCAATCTTTAAAATCGACAATTATCAGATATTGCCATACAATCATCCATTATTATAACAAATCATGATGTCAAGTGCTAGTCATAATTTCTTATACATTATGATATTAATAATTCAAACAAATTAGCAAAAAGATTTAGAAAAATGCTGTATAAAGATATATCTTATGTATAAATACATACATTAACGATTTAATTTTTTACTACTATAACAAATAGATTTTATATAATATTAAAAGAGAATGCTTTCGTCAATAACATATGTAATTAGCAATCTAAAATTCACTAAAACTTATGTCGTAAAGTATTTTAATCGTTTTCAACTATATTGCTATTGGTTTTTGAATGATTTACAGTTCAAAAATAATTTAAAATAATTTATTTTACACATTTAATGCCATGTATAAAATCATTTATTCGATTAATTTATACATAAGACATGTCTTTATACGGCATTTTCCCCAATCTTCTTGCTAATTTGTTTGAATTACTTTTATTTAAGCGAATAATTTTGCAAATCTGATTTTATATTTGTAATCAGCGATTCAAAAAATTCATATCTTGTATTAAATCTTGTTTGTTACATAGCATTATTCTGTTTCTAGTTAAAAGAGGGAAAATTGAAAGGGTAATAACTGCCCTTAAAATCGCTTATGGATCAAAAATGGAAAGACATGGGTAAAATATTTTCCATAGTTCTATATTTATGCGAAATTTGAAAAAAATCCGAGAGTTATACTTGGGTAGGTTTACTTGTTAGTCTATTTCGCGCTCAATACCAGCTTGATGAATCTGTATTTTCCTGCTATCAGACAAGAGGATAAACTCGTTAATGGAGCTTACCTGGAAATCGAGTATGGGAGTGTGTGGGCGGCGCAGATTGTGGCGGCGGTGGCTGCGATGGGGTCGGCGATGTGGAAAGCGGTGGTGGACTCTGCAGCGGGGCGTACGGATGGCTGCCGGTTGGTGTCGATGCGCTCGATGGTGTACTGCTAGGATTGAACAAGTTTAGGCCAAGTAAATCTGAGCTTGGCTTACCTCCTAATTGCTGTGACACTGACTGAGACCTTTTCATATGATGATCGGAATCGGTATTCGATCCTCTACGTCCCTACGTTTGAAAGTGACATATAATTAAGAAAAATAAAGCAATTCATATTTTATATACATAATACATGTTCCGAGAATGTGATATAATCGAGAAAGAAATTATTCGTGAAAAAGCAAATTGCAAAGATACAGATTAATTCATTTTTGTAAGAAATATTGTTTTACAATAAATTACAAATATACAATAAAATTTTTTTATACAAAGCTGTTTTCCAAAAAAAAAGTTTAAATATTATCTTGTACATATACACGATAAGACATAAAATATATGATAAATTGTTTTATTAATATTGTATCGTGAGAAGTTTTCTTATGCGTATTCTATGATGGCATAACAGCATATTTTGCAAAATGCTTCTTTCTAGATTTCAGATTAACTAATCACTATATTGATAAACTCGTTCGAAAGAACCATATGCAAGTTTTCTATTCTATTCTTTAAATAACTATTTCAGGATATCAATGATTAGAATATTGACTATAATAATAATAATAAATAACTGCTGCGAAAGCATTATTGCATGCGCCTAACTCAAGGATCATGTCTATATATTCCCGATTGATAAATAATCATATCAAAAAGAATAGAGACTGAAAACTAAACTGATGCAAATTTTTCTATTGACAATGTTATGTTTATAAATACACATAAACAAATACAAACACAACAGTCAATTGAATTTAGTTAAATGCTTGTATTGGAATATTCAAAGTTATTTATCGAAAATAAAATGTCAATAAAAAAATTTTATTCTATATTTTCAATTTCATTTTTCACATATAAAGTCATTTTTCTCTTTCCAGTTACTAGTTATGAAATACATATCGCTATATATATTTTTAACTTTTTCATAAAAAATGTATTCTTTCGCGATTGTATCATAGTTTATATATCATGATAAAATACAAATATATATACCTCTTGCGTATATTTTATACTTTTATAATATTTGATAATCAAATAAAGATATTATTTTGTCTCGATTTTTTATACTTAAATAAAACTAATGTCAAAAATTAATATTAGTGATGCAAACATAAAATTGTACAACGACAAGTATGTTTGAATATATCACATTTTTGCTTATTTATAAGCCATAAAGTAACATCTATTATTTTATGAGCCGCGGTATATAACGAGCGATACGAGATTCTTCAGTAGAATATAACTCACTGTTGGTGCAGGTGATAAAGATAAATTTTCCACTGTCGCCCTCAATTCATCCACGCTGGCGCTCATGGGTGCACCATTGCTGAGAGGTTTTATTTCCACTCGGATCTTACGTTCCCTCTCGTCCTCCGAATCAGTATCCGAGCTGGAATAGAATCCTTTTTCGTTTTCCCACGGATCTGGCTTCGGTCTAATACAAAAACCGTCCTCATCCACCTCCGGCGTCGGCGTTTCTGATTTTCTGCTGTCATCCTTGTCCTCCCTATTGTGTTCATGACAGATCATTTAAGATAACATACTTTTTTGTTAATTCCAGCAGGCCCAGTGCATTACACAATAAAAATCTTTCATGCTAGAAGCATGCTAAAACTTATAAAATTCTTATACTTATAAGTGTGATATGTAACTGAATTTAATATCATTCTATACACAGGGGCACACCCACACCCACACACCCACACACACGTGTACACAGACAGACAGCACAGCAGATAGACACATGACACACACATACACTGCATATATGTTCATGTACACTCACACCCATACGCAAGTATTCTACTGTAGTTGGCAAAAAATTGTGATACATGGATCCACATGGATGTTTTCTTTTCGAACTTCGCAGCTTTTAAATTTTTTATTATAAATACAGAAATTTAGTATATTCTGTCGAAAACGAACAATTATCTAATAATTCATAAAATTTCTTTTTTTGTTCATAATTGCTCTCAAAATCAATATAAAGTCTAATAACTAGACATAAAGGATTTAATCTAAATCATCATTAATGAAACAATTAAATGTAATCTGGAAGAGTGCAAAATATGTGACAATGAACATTAAAATTGTACATTTTATTTCTATTCAGTTTTTAATCATTGTTTATGTTATGCTATCATATTCAAATATCAAATAATATTTGTACAAAGACAATCGAAAAATTATTGAAATTAAAATCTTTGTAATTATTTAATTAATAAACAGAATAAAACAAATTAAACATTCCGTAACAAAAATAATCATTTTATTGACATTAAAAAATATATACATTTATGAACTTGTAAAAATAAATATAAAAAAAGATAAAAATTTTATTGATTATATGACTTAATGATATATGTTTAGATCTAGGAGGAAATAATTTTTATAAAAAGAAAAAATTCTTTAAGGTATGGTTACAATTATCAATGTTAAAAAATAAATTCAATAGTTCTTAAAAACATCTCTTATTATAAATTTAAATGATCATCATTAATTAAAAAAGTTAATAGATTTACGAATATTATCAGTGCCATAATATATTGTTAAATGCTAATATTTTGTAAATATTGCAATTCATTTCATTAGGAGGAGGAGCGACCTGATAATGTAACTGTGAAAACCTTAAAGGATCATTAATACATATACACACGCGCGCGCGCGCGCACAAAATAATAGGTTTCTTTTTTTAATGTAATGTTTAATCCATTTCATTTTGTTTATTCATTATGAAACTATTCAAATTTCATCCAATGCCCATAAATACACGAAAGAAAGCATTTGCAGACTCATGTTTCAAGTGTTTCTCATATGTTATAAACGATAAAAAAAATTATAATATGCGATATCTTAGATAAACAAATATAGAATATATAAACAAAGCATTCCGAGCCATAGATTCACATCCAACAAAGTATTTCATTTATATCATAATCTTAAAAAGTATTTTATATGTGTCTCTTTTTTTAGCATATATAAATATATTGACTTTGCTGATTGTGAAACTGACTCTTTATGTGCACTAGGTCTGCTGTGCATGCGTGTACTGACAGGTCAGACTTTTCTTCTTTATTGCTGCTTGTGTCCACGAGGTCCTTCTTCTTCTTCGCCTTCTTCTCCTTTCGTTTTTCTCTTCTACTGCGTAGAAACCCTGTTGATTGTGGACACCCCAAATGTAGATAACACGGTGGACTGCACTATATGTACTTACTTATTAAATATATTTTATGCGATTTACACTCTTACAGCTACATTGAACTGCGTATTCATTTCTATTTGCAGAATTAATGTGCTAAATTCCCAT